CCCCAAAACCCCAAAACCCCAAAACCCCAAAATAAGTTTAAAATACTGAAATATTATTAAGTTAATATGAGCGAGGAAGAGAAATCTATACACTCCAGTCATGGTAGCCCTCCAGCCCCGAAACGTGCGTGGAATGAAGGAGAAGAAGAATCTGAAGAGGCAGATCAGGCAGAAGATAGTAAACAGCCTGAGATAACACCAATGAAGGACTCTGAAAGACAAAAAGAATTTAATTATGACTCATTTGTTAAGAAAAAGATCAATAGTCTTTACTCAGAAGAAGCTGAATCTGATAATGAGGAGAAACCAGCTCCATTCAAAAAGATTGTAACCTTGGATAGAATAGATCATGAATATCGGAGTGAAAAATCATCTATTCAAAATGAAGCACGGTCAGGGAAATCTTCCAAACATCAAATTCAAAACTTTGATCCTTCAGCAGAAGAAGCTAATGATCTAGAAGAGTCATTAGAGTCTCGTTCTGATGACTTCTCCTCTTCAAGTGAAGAACAGAAAGAGGTTAAGGAGAAAATTGCTAAGACCATGGATCCTAATAAACTTGATGCTGAAATTGGAGATGATGCTGCTAATCTCATTGAGTTTCGAAAAAATAAAAGTACTCCTCCAAACAAAAAGCTTGATGGAGAGCATAAACCTGCTGCAAAGAAGATCTTCCTGGAAAATGATCGTGATGATGAGTACTTCGATGAGGATATTGACAAAGAAAAGATGACCTCTATGAGTACTGCCAACATGACTACGTCAATGATAGAGAGGAAGAAAAAAAAATAGGAAGTTAGGCTGCTGTAGGAACAAATTGAGAAGGGATGCTCACATTCCGAAATGACTTATACTCCCAAGTGATATTTACAAGCAATACTGGGATATATTTACAAGTATACTGGTCATTTTGATCTCCTTCATTGTTCCATACAGGGTCGCCTTCATTGATGAGGAAGAGACTGACGAGTGGACTTATATCTTATTGTCCCTTGATTGCTGCTTTTTCATAGATATCTGCCTTAACTTCTTCACTGTGTATATTAATGAAAACAGAGAGCACGTGGTGGACCACAAGTTAATCATCAGACATTATGTCTTCACTTGGTTTTTTGTTGATCTGGTATCTACTATTCCATTCGGAATGATACTGAATGTTAACAGTTATAACTCATTGGCTAGGGTTTCTAGAGTTTCAAGAATATATAAAATTATCAAGATCATTAGGCTAACAAGAATGCTCAAAATTGCAAAGGAAAGAAGCAAATTATCTAAATATCTCAATGAAGTCCTGAGCTTCAGTATTGGGTTTGAAAGATTCATATTCTTCTTGGTATTCATGGTCATATTTGTCCACCTGGCAGCCTGAGCTTATATGTTCATTGGAGGATTTACATCAGATGAAATTGAATCTTGGTATTTTCAAAGAAGCATTCAAGATGATTCAAATTTCGATCTCTACGTCACCTGACTCTATTTCGTGTTTACAACTATTACCACAGTTGGATTCGGAGATATTAGTGGAGGGACGAACGAGGAGAGAATTTTCTGCACATTACTCATGATCCTTGGGGTTCTCGCATTCACCTTTACCACCTCTTCCTTATCAACACTGATCACAAACATGGATTCCAGAAATGCAAAGCTTAAAACCAGGATTTCTCAGTTGAATGCTCTAAACGCTAAATACAACTTGTCCCTAAGACTGTACCACAAGATAGAGAAAGTGCTAAAATTTGATCACAGTAAATCAGAAACTTTTGAGATCTCCTTCCTGAACGACTGCCCTCAAAGACTCAAAATCGAGCTGAGCTTCTGTATGTACAAGACATATATTGAGAAGCTTCCATTTTTCCAAGAAAAAAACGGACATTTTATTGCATTTGTATGTCCAACTCTGACACCTCAGTTCGTACATGAGGAAGAGATTATTTACAAAGAAGGAGATATTGTAAATGAGATCTACTTCTTACTCTCTGGAAAGGTCGGTATGGTCCTCAGTATCGAGGCTAAGAAACATCCTTACATGTACATAGAAGAAGGTCATTACTTCGGAGAGATAGATATGCTAAACCACACTGCTATAGGCTCTAAGAAGTCAAAGAAAGTAAAACTTGATAAGAAGAGAAACTTTACAACAGTTGCTATTACCAATTGTGAACTCCTCCTGTGGAGTAAGAAGAACATCTACCTTGCTGATAGTGAGTTCGATGACGTTATTCGTAGCATTTTTGAGACTGCAGAGAGAAGGTACCTCAAAGCAGTTGCTGCCAAGAAGGAAGCTTTTGAGTATTATAACTCTCTACAACATAAGAAAGAACTTGGATTCACTCCTGTGGTGACCAGAGCCCAAGAGCCCAGTGAGAATATCTTCCAAAACAGGAAAAATTATTATAATGATGATGAAGACGAAGTCATTATGGAAGAATTTGATGATTTTGATGAAGATGATGATGGAAAGAATGAAAAGAAGAAAGAAGATAAGCAAAAGAAGAACACTGAAAAGAGAAATCTATCTCCTGAAAACCGAAGGCTCACTAAACCTAGACTTCAGACAAGTGCAGCAGATTCTCTTGGCACTCCAAATAACAAGAACTTATTTAACGCTAGTTTAAAGAAACAGAACAAAGGAGTATTGGGGAGATCTCTTCATAAGAATCATTCTACAAACTTGTTCAGTGGGAAAAAGGTATGTAAATATTATTATCTCCCAATTTAGGAATACTCAGGGATGCCTTATTCAGGTAGCTATTTAGACAATGACTCAGCATCCTCCTCTGCTGATAATGAAGAGCTTAAGAAAGAGCTAGAACAGAAGGACAGAGACTTGAAGATAGCAAGAGCAGAGATAAAATCAATGGAGAAGAAAATTAAATACCTCATGGAAGGATAGAGAGGCTAAACTAATGAAGATGAGTAGGATAGACCTATTAAATAATCTTAAAAATTAGAGCATTGTGCACTTTACCACCAAAAATCTCTTACTAAATTAAGCTACACCTCAATTTTTCTATAACCACATACTTAATCTACTTTGTTTCAGCCCTAAAAATCCTTAATCCACTCCCTTTCCCCCTTCCTCCACACCAAAGCCCTTCCTCCCTCTGTCACATTTTCTTCAAAAACCTCAATTTTTATTAATTTCTTCAAAATCATCAATTTTTTAAAACACTTCAGGGGTTTTGGGGTTTTGGGGTTTTGGGG